TTATATAGTATTATACAATAATACTGTTCTGACTTACATACAAATTTGACTTAAGGACAGACCTTGGGAATGGAATTCATTCTTAAATTGGGGAGTACCTGTATATGGCTTCTTTATAGTACAACTTCATAAATTGTGATTTCAGTAAACCATGGTTAAGACTAATGAAAGTTTACGTACAATGTTAAAATAAAATAGCGAGTTATATTGATCATGCCAAAGGAGGAAAGGGGAACTCATTTATGTATCTCTGAACTGTAATTTGGAGATACATATTACATTTGAATAAAGAATTAATATGTTCCTATGGAAAATTCCGTGGATGCCTTCCAGAGAAAAGAAAAAAGAGCTGGAGTTGTTGCTGGTGCCTTTATCCATCTTAGGCTGCTTAGAAATTGTGGCAATGTTTGAAGCAGCCTTTCTGAACTGGGGTTCCTTGGAACTCTAGAGTTCCACAGGAGGTTATTAGGGCTTCCATGAGAGATCATGGTTAAAAAAAATAATAATAAACATCACCTTTTAAAGTTTGTGCACTGCAGAATGCTAGCACTCACAGCGGTGGGAATTTTTATGTGCTGCAACTCAGCTTACTGATCACACTAACACACAGTGAGCTGTAGATACAGTAATTTTTATGCAGGGGTTCCCTGAGACTTGAAAATTATTTCAAAGGTTCCTCCAGGGCAAAAATGTTGAGAATGGATGGTTTAAAGTGTGGGATTCTACTTTATTCTAGTAGCAGGTGACCTCCCCCCCACCCCATCTCTGCTAAAATATTTGGCTCCTTTTTAAAAAAAAAAAACTTTTTTATTGTAGAACATAGTGCCATAATTCAAGACTATAGCTATTGGAATCCCATTTTTAGAATGTTATATGCTGTGGTGTATTTTCTGTATGGCTTCTTATTTAAGTATGCTTAGGTTTGAGAAAAAGCATAGAAAAGTTTCATGAAATGGAGATGAAAAAATATTTTCATTTCAGAATGGAAAAAAAAAGACCAAGAAATTATGGCATTGTCAGTGTGATAGAAAGCAACAATGAAACTAAGATGATAAAATAGTCAATTGTTAAGCTTCTTTATAACAGTGAAGAAAGTAGCATGGATTTGTAAAAAATAAATCCTGCCAAGCTAATTTTCTCTCTTTTTATTGATTAGATTTACTAATTTAATGGATTAAAGGAATCTTGTTAGAGGATTGGGGGAAAAACCTTTATATTACTTAATCAGTCAGGGTTTCACTGCTATGTGATGGCATAGGTCCTTCATTTTAAATTATCATATGTCAAATAGATTAAAAAGTAATTTAACTCATGCAGTGATACATGATCTTAATGGTTACTTCCAAAAATCATTTTTGAGGATAGCATCAGCCATCTTTGTTATCCTGTGAGTAATTGATAGCAGCTTTTGAAACACCTGGGACCATGAACACGGTGCTTGTCTGCAGTTTATTAAAGCAACCATCTGGGGGGTGGGGGGTTGCTTAGATTATGCAGCTGTTGCATGGAGATTTCCATTGTAGCTTTGTCATCCGGGAGACATATATGGCTGCTTGTAGTTGCAGACGAATGCTGTGCTCACAATCCTGTCTTCTGAAGCACTCTTGCAGAACTAATTTGAAGCACTGATAGCTTTAATCTGGCAAAGATTCTATGTTTAAAATACTGATATCAATATATACAAGAAATAACTTTATGGCTGACTTGTAAGTCATATTACTGCTCCATCTATATACCATCATAACTTTGTAAATAGCAGTTCACTTTGGACCATGTGTCAAATTATATGAAAATAATAATTTGACTGCTTTACCCTGGTGACAGGAATGAATTTGTGTAGACAAACATGCATGAATCATATTTTTCCTGCTTAGACATTCAGACCAGTTTTGGGTTGTAAAGTATGCTTTTAGTAAGACGTGGTATGACATGGCAACTGAATTAATCTCTTGCTGTCTTACATCACATTGACTGTTTTCATACATTGCAGTAAGCCATGATGTGATTTGATGGATATTGGTTTAATATAATGGTTGAACCTTACCATCATGGATGGTTGTTTTCAGGCCTAATGGCTGCATGTGTGATTGAATATAATGTTCTATGGCTTGGGTCCTGCCCACTATTGGCGTGTGATTCCAAGCCAAATTCTCCTGAGAGAATTTGGCTTCATGCTGGAAGAATATCCTTGCTTTTGTCCTTCAGTGTGTGTTTCCCTGGCAGAAGAAGAGCAATAGGGGTATGACAGTAGGTCCGATTCCCACACGTAGAGAGATAAAATATAGAGAAGATAAGGAGTGCAGACAAGCTTAGCCCCCAGTATTCCTTCATAATGTATTTGCATATTCTCTGATAAGTTCTAAAAGTGGTTTGTAAATATGTTTAACTTAATACATTTACAATCCCAACTTATCCAGATTTCTTATTGTAAATAATCTTTTGTGTTCACCTCCATAAAAGCTGATGAGTAAGTGGAGAGCTAGAGGACAGAATTCATATGTATGCCCACTTACATTCCACACTTCAAATCGTAAAATACTGCAGGCAGATGCCTACAAATAGGGCTAATTTTTCAAGTTGGATTATATTTGTATTTTGTGTTTAAAGTGAACAAGAGTACCTTCCTTTTTTGTTTGTTTTAATGGAGCGGCCCTGATTTACCATTTTGGCTGCAGGTAACTGACTAAAAGAACTAACAAGATAACATTGTTTGCATTGTAAAAACAAGATTTGCTAACTTTGGCTGTTGATACAGAAAGCAGTAAGTGAAACTATTTGGCTATGAGCTGTGGGATGGCAAGAATGCTAAAGGTCACAGACATATCTTAATCCTCTGTCTGACTTGGTTTTCATCCCAGATACATAATCTTAGCACCAGAAAGCTTTTCTGCTTCTGAATTGATACTTGGTTCCATATTAAAATTTCTGCAAAATACATATACAGGAGGAGAGGGGCAGGTTGCATAGCTACAGATAGTATATATTGAATCCAGTGAGCAATGTTATCAGAAAATTCTAGGATTAGTAAAAATTTAGTATTTGTAGTTTTCTATTAGTAGTAGTAAGCATTCTCCTCTTTTTCAGAATTGTGTGGCTGGCAGAAATCAGATAGGTTAAATTTCCCCAATATGAACATTTGGTAAAAATATTTACCAAATAGCATTAGTACAAGGTATTTTAATCTTGGTATCTTAACCAGATCTGAAGTGGTCCTCATGAAATTTGATCCAGTTGTGTTGGTTACTGCCTTCTCATAGATCAAGTGTCACAGAGTTTTGATGGTTTTTAATTTAAAAAGAATAGAATGATCCAGAAAAAAATAAACAATGAAATGCTAATTATTTAATATTCATGCCCATGAATATTAAAAATTTTAAGATTTATAATTTATTAAATATTAAATAGCTTATAAGGTCACCCAACTCTAGGCAACATACATTAAAAACAGTAATATAATACAATACAAGTCCCCCCCATAAAAAGCTGGAAGAAAAACAACCATTAAGTGACAATCAGCCGTGTAGGACCCATTACCCATTATAGCCCTGGAGAAACAGCCAGATTTTCAGAGCTGATTTGTATTCCAGAAGACAGATGGTTTGACAGAGAAGATATGTTTCCCAGGCTCCATCAGGTGGATGGGACCTGGAGCATACCAGTTCTAGCTGATTGTACAGCCCAGGCAGAAGCCATAGAAAACTGATTGTCCTTTAGATAAGCAGGTCCTATGCCACAAAGGGCTTATTGGCAATAACTAGTACTTGAATTGCATTGGTAACCAGTGCAGCTCATGGAGCGAAACTGTTACATGGGCCTGATGAGATATACCCAAAATTGCCCATGCCACTACACTCTGGATTAGTTGCAGCTTCCAAGTGGTTTTCAAGGATAGCCCCAAGTAGGCTGCATTGCAGTAGTTCTTTTGTTTAGTGATCAAAGTGTGAGTGACTGTCTGAAGGGCCTCACAGTCAAGGGAAGGGCACAATTACTGCACAATATGGATTTCTGCAAAAGTCTTTTTAGCCACAGCTTCCACCTGCTCCTTCAGCAGGAACTGTGAGTCCAAGAAGGCTCCCAAATTGTGCACCAGTCCCAAAGAAACTAAAGATGACACATTATTGGCCCTAGGGAATCCAAAAACCCATAGCTACCCAATCTTGCCACAGTGGAATTTAAGCCCATTCCTCTCCATCCAGTCCTCCATGGCCTCAAGACACTTGGACAAAATCTTGACAGCTTTGTCTGGTCAG